AGCTGCATATTCCTGCATTTCAGGGGGTTGGACTGGATGATCTTCAGGGTCCCTTCCAACTCCACAATTCTATAATTCTACGATTCTAGGAGCGCTCAGTGAAGTCTAACCTACGCAAGCAAATCCAGATGAATGCTCAATAAACTGGTTGACAGTTTCCTCCAGGCCTTTGCTGGGTAAACAGCTCAACCCCAGGCCTCCCTGCCTCCTTCTCCTTGCCCCACATCAGCCTGACTCCCTGGCTGCTGCCCTTACCTCCTCACTCCAGTCCCCCTTGGCTTCTCAGGGCAGGTGCCCACCCTGCCATGTGCCCACGCCTCTGGACTGACGCTCCTGCGGAGCGGTCCCAGCACCCCGACTCAGCTCCGCCGAGAATCGCGCCTCGAGTCCTCCACACGCTTGGCTGCCTATGGCAGGGCCTTGACAGACAAGGACGCAGCTTGGGAGTCCCATCTGCTCAAATCCTTCTGGAGCAACCCAAAGCACACATTGTGATATAATTTTTTTTTTTTGTAATAATAAAAAGAAAACAACCATCGGAGAGAGCACAGATTGTCCAAACTGTACCAGATGCTGAAAATAGAAAAAGTGTGATAACGCAATTGGGAGAAATCAAGTGATCATCACATGGCAGGCAAAGCCGAAAGCAAATGAAGCCGACAAATTAAGGCGAATCCCTGACCCGACCTGACCGCAGCCGAAGAAAATGACAATTTTGCAAACGGAACCACAGAACTGCGTGACGCAAACGCTTCAGGGTAGGGGGAAATTATTCTCCTGTTTCCCTTCACGAGCCTGGGGGACCATGATCAGCCCAAGGGCCACATCTCCTCCTAGGCAATGTTCCGGGGGCCACATGTCATGGTAGGCGGGGCTTCAGACACAAGTAGGCGGGGCCATGGATGTAAGCTTTGTGGGGTAGGCTGCTTTCTGCACATGCTCTCGCTCTCTTACCTTCCTCCACCCAGGCAAGGAAAAGGCATGATCAGAGATCAAGGACACACATTCCCAGGCAGGCAGAAGAGCTCTGTGTGCCCAGGATTCCTGAATGGAGAAAGCCCCATGGAAGTCCTTGCATCACAACACCTTCCCCTGGGCTTTAACTGAAGCATGGGGGCAAGAAAGGAAAGAACTTCTGGGAAATGATATATAATGAGATGAAAAAGATGTTGAAATATACATTCTTAAAAAAACAACAGAAGCATTTTTACCTGGCCAAGACATTAATAGACAAGATGTTAAATTGTTCTTATATGCAACAACAGCGGCAAGAGTATTGTTAGCCCAGAAATGGAAGCAAGAAGAAATTCCGACGAAAGAAGAATGGCAGGCGAAATTAATGGACTATGCAGAATTGGACAAAATGACAGGAAGGATTCGAAAAACTGCGGGACTAGAGATTCACAGAAGATTAGAAGAAGTATATGAATTATTTGAAGAGCAACTGTAATCAACAAATTACGCTAGTAGGACTACAAGAAGTTTTGTGAGGAGAAATATACGAAGTGTTACAAAGTAGAGATATTGGTTATGAGTTTGAAATGTAACAGGGAAAATAAGAAATGCATACTGAGAGATTAGATTGGAAAGTTTTCAGACAGGATTGATGGAAGTCGAAAAAAATTGAATAAGATGTAAAAGTATGTTTAATTACTGTTGAAAATAATATGTTAAAACACACACACACACACACATATGTATATGTATGTATGTATGTATGTATGTATAGCATGGGAGCAATGAGAGGTTGAGGAAGGTAGACCAGCAGAGAGGTGGTGTGTCGAATGAAAGAAAGGATGCTCTCAAGGACCCCCTCAGCGGTGAGGGCTGTTCCATTTCAGGAGATGGGGCATTGCCCCACTGACCTCTGGCTTCTCCTACCATTGGTCTCTCTGCCACTCTCTGCCCCTCAGCCAGCTCTGGCAGAGTGTGGCTTACTGGTAAGAGTGTCAGACTAGGACCTAGAAGGGCAGGGTTCAAATCCCCACTCAGCCATGGAGCTCACTGAGTGTGACCTCAGCCTAACAGGGGTGTTGTGAGGATAAAATGGGAAGGTGGGAAAGTATGTATGCCACCTTGAGCTTCCTGGAAGAAAGGCAGGCTATTCATGTAAATGATGATGGTGATGATGATAATGTATTAGTAATAATACTAATCTTTTAGTGAGCGTGAAAGAGGAGAGTGCAAAATATGGTCTGAAGCTCAACATCAAAAAAAACACAAGATCATGGCCACTGGGCCCATCACCTCCTGGCAAATAGAAGGGGAAGCAATGGAGGCAGTGAGAGGTTTTACTTTTGTGGGCTCCATGATCACTGCAGATGGTGACAGTAGTCACGAAATTAAAAGACGCCTGCTTCTTGGGAGGAAAGCAATGACAAACCTAGACAGCATCTTAAAAAGCAGAGACATCACCTTGCCAGCAAAGGTCCGTATAGTTAAAGCTTTGATTTTCCCAGCAGTGATGTATGGAAGTGAGAGCTGGACCATAAAGAAGGCTGATCGCTGAAGAACTGATGCTTTTGAATTCTGGTGCTGGAGGAGACTCTTCAGAGTCCCATGGACTGCAAGAAGATCAAACCTCTCCATTCTGAAGGAAATCAGCCCTGAGTGCTCACTGGAAGGACAGATCCTGAAGCTGAGGCTTCAATACTTTGGCCACCTCATGAGAAGAGAAGACTCCCTGGAAAAGACCCTGATGTTGGGAAAGATGGAGAGCACAAGGAGAAGGGGACAACAGAGGACGAGATGGTGGGACAGTGTTCTCGAAGCTACCAGCATGAGTTTGACCAAACTGCGGGAGGCAGTGGAAGACAGGAGTGCCTGGCGTGCTCTGGTCTATGGGGTCATGAAGAGTCGGACACGACTAAACAACAACAACAATAATAATACTAATATCATAGAATTGTCCAGCTCAAAGGGATCGCGAGGGCCATCTAGTCCAACCCCCTACAATGCAGGAATCTTTTTGTCCAACATGGGGCTTGAACCCACCACCCTGAGATTAAAAGGCTCATGCTTTACCAACTGAGCTATCTCACGGATGAGTAACAGCAGCTCTCTGGCCTGAGGATGTCATGCTGTAGAGGAACCAGGGTCTCCTTTGCTCTGTCGGACTCCGCAACTGCTAAAACAGGGTGGGTCTCTATAAATGGAAGAGGCCCCAGCAGAAAAAGGAAGCTACTACTGTACTGCGAAAGAGCTGCAGGAGCTAATTGAAGTCCCAGCCCAAGGATGGCTGCCTGCTGCTGAAGCAACCTCTATGCTCAGCTCTTCATGGAGCTGTCCGTGGTGCTAGCAGAGCCTTGTCTCTGCACTGCTGAGGCCAATGCTCCAAATAGAAAACATACCTACCTGAGATCATCTATAGGGGCTCTGCTCTGACTAGGGATGGGCGGATTGCGTTCAGTTCCCCCCATTTCTACCTCGGGTTGCATTTGATTATCTTGTTAAAAGTCCTCGTGAAAAATCACCAGCAGTTCAGTGTGCGTTGTTCCTAAAATCCAGGTATTTGTACGCCATTTTGCCTTGCTTGCATGTCTTTGCAAGAAATTCCCCTTAATTATAATGCATTTTCGGCACGCTTTTCCCAATGCACACATTTGGTTATTTGGCCAGAGAAGTGTGGGTTTTGAGGGCTGGCTGAGTTTCAGTTCACACAGAGAGTGTGAATTAGGTAGGTTTTCAAAATTTGAACAGAAGCTCATTTCTCTCCTTTTCCTAGCTCAGAGTTCCCCCTCACCCTGGTGGGTGGCCACAAGAGACAGGGGCTTCTCAGTGGTGTCCCCCCCGCCAAAAACCCCCCATCTCCCTATAGAGCCTTGCCAAGCAACCACGTTAATACATTTTCGGTGCCAGCAGGCCTTTTTCAATTCTCCCAGAATTCTAACACCATTTTATTTATTTAATATTAATCATCTGAGTCTCGGCTGTTACCCGTGTATCTTTTGCCCTTTTGACTCTCTGCTGAGAGTCCATGGATTTTTAGTACTGTGCTGCAATCCTAATATATTATATTTTTTATTTTCCATTACTATTATTTACTCATTTCTTACATCCACATTCCACCTTTTCCTCCAAGGAGCTCAGAGCGGTGCGCGTGGTCCTCCCCTCTCCTCATTTAATCGCCGCAACAACCCTGCCAGGTAGTTTAAGCTGAGAGGCACTCTGGCGCTCTAACCGGTGCGCCATACTGCTGGGATTTATAAACCCCGCCACGGTTGCAGAGGGTCGTGCGGGGAACCGGGCTGCAGAATTAAGAACCCACGTAGGTGGATCGGGACAATGGCCAACCAGATTCCCAGTATGCCCAGTATGGGAAACCCGCCAGGAGGAGCCACAAGCGCCACTCTCCTCGCCCGCAGTTTCCAGCAACTGGTATTCAGAAGCAGAGCCGAGCCATCGTTGTTGCATCTTTTGGGGTGCGATTCCTCGGCTGCAAATCTGCAGCGCGGGTTGGCGCTCAGTTCTGCAGTCGGTGCAATGCACGCGCAAATATATCGAGTGTGCGCGTCGAGTGACCTTGCGCCTGGGTGTGCAAGCTGGCGCGCACACACACGCCCCTTTCGCTCCGGGGAGAGAGAAAAGGAACGCAAAGGGGGTGTTTTGCAAAACGTGGAGAGGTTCGCGCTGGCCCTGGTGTTGTGCCGGCTGCCTCTCTGCCCCCCCCCAAAAAAACATGGGCGCTTGGCACAGGGCAGAGACAGAAGGGCAACGGCCCCCCTGGCATCGCAGCCCCGCAGCCAGACGGCGCAGGAGGGGCTGCCATGGAGCAGAGAGGCCGCTTCACAGTGCACAGCCAGCTGGGGTTAGGGGTGCTTGTTGAGGGGAAGGGGGGAGCCCGAGAGCCGTGCCAAACCCCCTCCCTCCCTCCCCACCCACCCGCCCTCAGCCTCCTGAGCAGCTGCAAACTCCTTCCTCCAGCCCAGAGAGACCCTTCCAGTTTGGCCTCCCGCATCTCCCCTCCTCCTCTTCCTCCTCCTCCTCGCCCCCCCCGCACCCATTTCCACTCCCCCTCTCTTTTCTCTGTGGCTCCCTTGGAAATGGAGGCACGGAGATTGCAGTCAGCTGATGGGTGCTGCTGAGCTCAGGAAAAGCCTCCCCTCCTCCTCCTCTCTCCATCTCACCGCCTTCTCGGCCTCCCCAGCCCCGACAAAGGGTGCTCGCTGTCGCTGGTGTCCCCCCCCCAGGGGCGGTTGGGTCAGATTATCCTATCCCGCCTCCCCCCACCGCCTCCTCCTTGGAATTGGAGAGAGGTTTTTGGTCTGGCGCGCCTTCCTCGCTCTCTCGCTCTCTCTCTCTCTGCCTCCTTCCAAAGGCACAGCAGATAAGAGCTGCTACCGCCCTCTCTGGGAAGGAAAGGGATTTCTCCCTCTGTCTCTCCTTTGCAGGACCCAGAACACAGGTATGGACTAAGCGGGAGAGACTGTGCGTCCCCGAGCTCCGTCTCCTCATCCAGGCGCCGCGTGCGAGGAGGGCAGCCAGGACACCTGGGCAGGTGTGCAGCCTCCGCAGACCATCTCCCGCGCCCGCTGCCATCACCTGCTCGCTCCAGGACCTGTGAAAACGGGGAGATCAGGCAGGCCAGCCCTGAAGGTAAGGCTCTCTCTCTGTCTCCCCACGGGCATGCTGTCAGGCTGATGTGCAAAATTCTCTGGGTTGGGAAAAAGCGAAGAGCGAGAAAGGATGCTTCTGCCTTGCTTTGCACAACGGCGCACGTCTCCTCTCGATGTGGGTGGGTGTTTTGTATTTTCTCCCCCATCGAGGAGCCTGTAAAATGAACAATTTTTCCAACGCTCGGGTCTCTGTGCCAGCCAGGTGTAGGGTTAAAAAAACACCACCCACCCCACACTGGGAGTAGGTTGGAAATGTCACACCGTGGCCTTTGGAGGAGCAGGCAAAATAAGGAGGGGAGCGAATGTGTGGGTCTCTGCTCCCCCATCCCCTGAAATCTTTCGCGTCTTTCCAGGCAGAATGGAAGGGTGAAAAGCAAGGAGCAAATTCTAGAGGCGAGGATTGCAGAGGTTTTCTGTGTAGCTCTCCCCGCACAGACCATCCAATTAGCTGACAGTGACTCACAAAACAGAATTCAATACGGACTCCTTTAGTCTCTGCCGTAAGAGGTTCTATTATTCCAGTTTTCTTTTCTTCTCTCTCTCCCCCCTTCCCCTCTATCTGTTGTAGCTGGAGAAAAGAAAAGAGCCCCCCCCTCTGTCTCCCTCCCTCCCTCCCTCCCTCTTCTCCACTCTGCATGTGCAAATTTGCTATCGCAGTATCTCATAGTAACCGTTGCATGAAATCCAGATTGTCGGGAGTGTTATCCATAAGGCAGTTATGAATGCTCGGAGGTTGAAATCTTGCTTTCTGGAGATGCGCCGCCTCAGTTGTAGCTGCACAATCAGAGCCGCCGTGGACGCGGGCCAGCAAGGGTTAACTGGAATGATAGCTGAGTATTAATATTGCAACTAGAGGGTTTGCGAACTACTTTGGGGTCTGTAATAAGCCAGGCGAGAGAGTTTAAGAAGAGCCCTGTGGTTAAGTATGCAAAAAAAAATATTTAAAAAATGGGCGATACGTTTTCATAAATATTGTGGAAGGTTTGCAGGGTCACAGAAACTCCCCCTGTGATCTCTTTTCTCTGGGAGATATTTAATGCAAAACCGACCTTTGTCATGTTTGCATTCTGGTGTGTGTGCGTGGATGGGAGAACCAATATTCCGAAGGAAATTTGCTAAGGAAGAATAAAGCTCCGTTTTCTAGCTAGAAAGGGCTGTAGCTCGCTGGCAGGGCAGCTGCTTTGAATGCAGAAGGGCTGGGTTCAACCCCTGGAACCTCCAGGTGAGGCTGGAAGACTCTCCTGCCTGAAACCTTTGAGAGCGGCTGCCAGTCAGAGTGGACGGCACTGAATAAGGCAGACAAAGCAGATCCCCAGGTTCCTAGAGCTCACTATTTTGAATTGGAGAAGGCACCGTGCCATCCTTGACTTGTGCCAAGTGCTGTACAGTATGCAAAAGGGACATGGTTTTGCACACAGAGGCTTAGAGTTGAGCAAGTGCAAAGCCTATGGGAGGAATTCCTTTTGGCGGTTCTGCCACCAGATCCCAAGCAGTGGGTTTCTGTGGAGAGACCAGCTCAGATTTCAGCTTCAATGCTCTCAAATCCCATCTCAGTCGTAGTTGCGCTGCATCACGGGTTTCCTTGTTTAAGGGGCTGCAGTAACCACCAAAGGGGAAATATGTGTTTTCAGTCACGGGAAAGAATGTCACTGGGCTCTAAAACATGAGGGAAACATTAGGAAACATTAAGGGAAATCCGGGCGAGGAATTCGTCCCTTTTGGATGGCAATTTTGCTCACTTCAAAGAAAGTTGTTTGGTGCAAAAAGAGTGAGGCGTCAGGAGAAAGAATGGGAAGTTGCCAAATGGTCTCATTCATGCAAGCAGGTCTCTTAGGCAGTCATTGAATATGTGGTCTATTCTGCAATGCCCAGGGGATTTTCCTGCTAGAGTTTTGAAGGGATGGAACCAGGGTCTGGGTTATTAAAATCCTTATTTCAAAGGAAGGCGTTAATGTTCAAGGTATGTCATTGCTGCGCCCATGTTACAGATGAGGAACTGAGGCTGAGTGATAACATGCTCAAGTTGGCTGCTCAGCATTTGAGCCAGAATCCTCTCCTTGAAGCCCCTCCAATTGCTCATTTCAAAGCAAAAGCATTTAATACGGTATGCGATTAGGAAAACAATTGTTAGGGCCTTCTTGGTACTTGTGCCTGCCCCGTGGAATGCCCTCCCACCAGATGTCAGAGATAAACAACTTTCAGAAGAAATCTGAAGGCAGCCCTGCATAGGGAAGCTCTTAATGTCTGATGTTTTGTTTTATATTCTGTTGGAAGCCAGGTTAGGGTAACCCAGCCAGATGGGTGAGGTACAGGTAATAAATTGTTGTTGCTGTTGGTTTGGAGGGGGGGGGACCTCAGATAACAAATCTGTGATTGCTGGAGGCAAAATGGAAATCTGGACCATTTTGGAATCATAGAATTGTAGACAGGGAACGGGCTCTCCAGGGGTCATCTAGTCCAACCCCCTGCAATGGAGGAACCACAGCTAACGAACCCCAGACAGATGGCCATGCAACCCCTGTCTAAAAAGCACTAATGAAGTCAAGTCCAGGCCCCCACTTTCCAAGGTAGTTCAAACAGCTTTTAGCATAAAAAAAATTCTTCCTAATATATAGCTGCAATCTCCTTCCTTGTCATTTGAAGCCATTGGTTCAGGTCCTGCCCTCCAGAGCAGGAGAAAACAAGCTTGCTTCATCTTCCGCGGGACAACCCTTCAGATATTTGGAGACAGCTATCCTATCATCACAACAAATACATGGGATGTGGGTGGCGCTGTGGGTGAAACCACAGAGCCGAGGGCTTGCCGATCAGAAGTCGGCGGTTCGAATCCCCGTGATGGGGTGAGCTCCCGTTGCTCGGTCCCTGCTCCTGCCAACCTAGCAGTTCGAAAGCACGTCAAAGTGCAAGTAGATAAATAGGTACCACTCCGGCGGGAAGGTAAACAGCGCTTCCGTGCACTGCTCTGGGTCACCAGAAGCGGCTTAGTCATGCTGGCCACATGACCTGGAAGCTGTACGATGGCTCCCTCGGCCAGTAAAGCGAGATGAGCGCTGCAACCCCAGAGTCGGCCACGACTGGACCTAATGGTCAGGGGTCCCTTTACCTTTAGCCTATCATCTCTCAATCTTCTCTTCTCCAAGCTAAATGTTCCACTTTGGACACTCGTCTGCAGACTTCGGAATGTGATGCACCAGTCGAATTCAGCATCTGTGCCGGATGTCACTCACCGGAAGGTCCCTGGGTTAAGCGGTTTTTGTGGCATCCCAGGATGCTGGTTCAAGTTGGTTTCCCTTCCTTCTGGTTTCGCCTATCGAAAAGAGACTGTAACCCCTTTCAGACAGGGACTGTGTTGTATTTTGCTTGCTCTTCTGATCAAGGGGCAGTAGCTACATAGCATACAGTGGTACCTCGGGTTACAGACACTTCAGGTTACAGACACTTCAGTTTACAGACTCCGCTAACCCAGAAATAGTACCTCGGGTTAAGAACTTTGCTTCAGGATGAGAACAGAAATCATGCTCCGGCGGCAGCAGGAGGCCCCATTAGCTAAAGTGGTCTTCAGGTTAAGAATGGACCTCCAGAATGAATTAAGTTCTTAACCCGAGGTGCCACTGTATTTGTCTTATGCTATGTCATCACATTTTTGGGAACCTAGGAGTGTGTATATGTCTCTGACACTTGGTCACACTTCCCTGCATTTCACACATTGAATGAGAAGGTGTCTTGTCACAAGTTGTGCTCCATCACATCCGATTCAAGTTCACTTTCTTTCTTTTTTTGCATTACTGGGGCAGGAGGTTGGTAGCGAATTCGCGCCTTTTCGTACTAACCTCTGGGGCTTATAGTCCCAGGTGGCATTTGGTGAGAGTCTGCCCTAGGTTTGTGCATTTGACTGTTACCAAGCAATACTTGTGGGTCATTCCAACTTGCTGAAGTTATCCTGCCCTCTCCCCAGTAAACGTTTTGAGAAAAAGGGGCTTGGGAATGATATCTGCAGGGAGCAGCAATGAGAGTAGACGTTCTAGGCAGGAAGAACCAGCTGCACAAATATAAGATGGGGGAACACCTTGCTTACTAGCAGAACATGTGAAAATGACCTAGATCAGGGTTCCCCAAACTAAGGCCCGCGGGCTGGATAAGGCCAGAGGGACTTGTTTATCCAGCCCACAGCAACCCCTGCTGCCCGCTGCCGCTCCCCACTCTTACTGGCGCTGCGCTGCACCGGAAATAGCTTGTGTGCATGTGCAAGCGTTATTTGTGCATGTGCAAGCGTTATTTCCGGTGCACCTCTGGGTCAGAGAAGGCCCGTGCACAAGCTATTGCTCCTCCGACCTGGAAGTGCACCGGAAATAGCGTGTGTGCATGCGTATGGGCATGCACTCCCCAACCTGTGGCCCACCGCATGATCGGCGCTGGAGACACTGGCCCGAGGCACGGTAAGTTTGCTGACACCTGATCTAGAGGTCTCGGGGGGGCCACAGGCTTAAAATGAATCAACAGTGTGATGCAGCAGCAAAAAAACCTAATGATGTTCTAGGCTGCATCAACAGAAGTCTAGTGTCCAGATCAAGGGAAGGAATAGTCCCACTCTGTTCTGCCTTAGTCAGACCACACTTGGAGTCCTGTGTCCAGTTCTGGGCACCACAACTTAAGGATGTTGATAATGTAAGCTGGAACGTGTGCAGAGGAGGGCAACCAAAATGATCAAGCGTCTGGAAACTAAGCCTTATGAGGAGTGGTTGAAGGAGCTGGGTATGTTTAGCCTGGAGAAGAGGAGATATGAGAGCCATCTTCAAATATCTCCAGGGCTGTTACACGGAAGAGGGAGCAAGTTTGTTTTCTCCTGCTCTGGAGGATAGGACTCGAACCCATGGCTTCAAGTTACAAGGAAGGAGATTCTGATTAAACACCAGGGAAACTTTCTAATAGTAAGAGTTGTTGAAAGCCGCCCGGGGTGGCTGGGGAAACCCAGCCAGATCG